AGGGAAAAAACGTAATCAGTTAGGTATAAAAATCTAACTTACCTATAGGAAGTAGGAGGGGAAAGAGAAAAGAAAAGGGAGGGGTGAATAGAAGGGAGGGAAGAAGTAGTAAGGGTAAAGGGAAGAAAAGAGGGGTGCTAATAGAAGAGAGGGCAGACTGAGGGCGGTGGCCAAAAGCAAAACACTAATGAGGAGGGAATCAGAGAAAGGAGAAAGGAAAGCATGAACAGGGGAAAATAGGATGGAGAGAAAGACACAGATAGTAATCATAACTGTGAATGTGAATGGGATGAACTCTCCCATAAAATGGAAGAAGATAGCAGAGTGGATTAAAAACCATAATCCTACAATATATTGTTTACAAGAAACACATTTGAAGCAGAGATATGCAGAGAGTAAAAGTAAAAGGCTAGAACAGAATATATTATGCTTCAGCTGAAGTAAAAAAAAGCAGAGGCAGCAATCCTGATCTCAGACAAAGCAAAAGCAAAAATAGATCTATTTAAAAGAGATAAGGAAGGAAATTACATCCTGCTAAAAGGCACCATAGACAGTGAAGTAATATCATCACTAAACATATATGCACAAAGTGGTATGACATCCAGATTCCTAGAGGAGAAGTGAAGGGAGTTATAGGAAGAAAAAAATAACAAAACTACACTAGTAGGGGGACCTCAACCTCCCACTCTCAGAACTAGATAAATCTAACCACAAAATAAATGAGAAAGAAGTTAAGGAGGTGAATAGAATTTTAGAAAAGTTAAATATGATTGACCTCTGGAGAAAACTGAATGGGAATAAAAAGGAATATATCCAGAAGAGACAATTTCAAAATTATTGATCTACTTGAAAACCACGATGAAAAAAAAAATCCTGGACAGAATCTTTCAGGAAATCATCAAGGAAAACTACCCTCAGGTCCTTGAACCAGAACATAAAATGGTCAGCAAAAGAATCCATCAATCACCTACTGAAAGATATCCCAAATTGAAAACACCAAGGAATGTTGTAGCCAAATTTCAAAATTGCTTTTTTTTTTGGCAGTACATGGAACCTATACAAAAATTGACCATGTACTAGGGCATAAAATCCTCACAATCCATTGCAGAAAGATAGAAATATTAAGTGCATTCTTTTAAGATCATGATGGAACAAAAATTACTTGTAATAAAGGGCCATGGAAAGATAGACTAAAAAAAAATGCGAAACTAAATAATCTAATCCTAAAGAATGAGTAGGTCAAACAAGAAATCATAGAAACAATCAATAACTTCATACAAGAGAATGACAATAATGAAACAACATACCAAAACTTATGGGATGCAGTGAAAGCGGTGCTTAAGGGGAAGTTTTATGTCTCTAAATACTTATATGAATAAAATAGAGAAAGAAGAGATTAATGAATTGAGCATGCAACTAAAGAAGAAAACCAAATTACTAGTATAAAAAATTAAAAGGCTGGATTCACCACCAATGAAGAGGAAATTAAAATAATAATTAGGAGCTATTTTGCTCAACTGTATATCAATAAATTTGACAATCTTACTGAAATGGATGAATATTTACAAAAATATAAATTGCCCAGATTAATGGAAGAGGAAATAAAATACTTAAACCACACCATTTCAGAAGAAGAAATTGAACAAGCCATCAATGAATTTCCTAAGAAAAAAATCTCCAGGGCCAAATGCATTTACAAGTGAATTCTAGGGCCAAATGCATTTACAAGTGAATTCTATCAAAAATATAAAGAACAACTAAGTCCAATACTATATAAGCTATTTGGGAAAATAGGTGAAGAAGGAGTCCTACAAAATTCTTTTTATGATACTAATATGGTGCTGATACCTAAACCAGGAAGAGCCAAAATAGAGAAAGAAAATTATAGAGCAATTTCTCTAATGAATATAGACACAAAAATTCTAAATAAAATATTAGCAAAGAAATTACAGCAAGTTATCTGGAGGATAACACACTATGATGAGGTAGGATTTATAGCAAGAATGTAGGGCTGGTTCAATATTAGGAAAACTATCAGCATAATTCACCATATCAACAACGAAATTAACAGAAATCATATGATTATCTCAATAGACGCAGAAAAAGTTTTTGGCAAAATACAACACCCATTCCTGTTAAAAATACTAGAAAGCCTAGGAATAAATGAAGTATTCCTTAAAATGATAGATAGCATTTATCAAAAACCATTAGCACACATTTTATGTAATGGGGATAAGCTAGAAGCATTTCTAATAAGATTGGGGATGAAACAAGGATGTCTATTATCACCACTGTTGTTCAGTATTGTACTAGAAATGTTAGCTTTATCAATAAGAGAAGAAAAAGAAATGAAGGAATTAAAATATAGGCAAAGAAGAAACAAAGCTATCACTGTTTGAAGATGATATGATGGTATACTTAGAGAATCCTAGAGAATCAAGTAAAAATTGACTTGAAATAATAAAAAAAATTATCAAAGTTGCAGGATATAAAATAAACCCACATAAGTCACCAGCATTTCTATATATTACTAACAAAGCCCAACAGCAAGGGATAGAAAGAGAAATTCCGTTTAAAGTTACAGTAGACATTGTAAAATACTTGAGAGTCTACCTACCAAAACAAACTCAGCAACTATATGAACACAGTTACAAAATACTTTTCACACAAATAGAGTCAGATCTAAATAATGGGAAAATATCAGTTCCTCATAGTAAGGCTGAACTAATATAATAAAAATGACAATTCTACCAAAATTGATTTACTTATTCAGTGCTATACCAAAGCACCAAAGATTATTTTATAGAGCTAGGAAAAACAATAACAAAATTCATCTGGAAGAACAAAAGGTCCAGAATATCAAAGGAACTATTGAAAAGAAATGCAAGGGAAGGTGGCCTAGCTGTACCAAATCTTAAATTGTATTATAAAACAGCAATCATCAAAACTACTTGGTACTGGTAAAGAAATAGAGTGGTGAATCAGTAGAAAAGGCTGGGTATGCAAGACATAACAGTCAATGACTATAATAACCTGCTATTTGATAAATTCAAAGACTGCAGCTTCTGGGGATAAGAGCTCACTATTTAACAAAAACTGCTGGGAAAACTGGAAAATAGCAGAAACTAGGCATAGAGCAACACCTTATACCCTGTACCATGATAAAATCAAAATGGGTCCATGATTTAGATATAAAGACTGACTCTATACACAAACTAGGAGACCAAGAAATAGTTTACCTATCAGATCTATGGAGAAGGGAAGACTTTATGACCAAACAAGAGATAGAGAACATTGTAAAATGCAACATGGATGACTTTGATTACATTAAATTAAATAACTTTTGCACAGACAAAGCCACTGCAACCAAGATTAGAAGGGAAGCAGAAACTGGGAAACAGTTTTTACAGCCAGTGTCTCTGATAAAGGCCTTCTTTCTAAAATATATAGAGAATTGAGTCACATTTACAACAATACAAGTCATTTCCTAATTGATAAATGGTCGAAGGATCTGAATAGGCAGTTTTCAGAGGGAAAAAAGATATCTATAGTCATAAAAAATGTTCTAAATCACTATTGATTAGAGAAATGCAAATCAAAACAGCTCTGAGGTACCACGTCACACCTATCAGATTGGCTAACATGACAAAACAGGAAAATGATAGATGTTGGAGAAGATGTGGGAAAATTGGAACACTAATGCATTGTTGGGGGAGTTGTGAACTGATCCAGCCATTCTAGAGAGATCAATTTGGAACTATGCCCAAAGGGCTATAAGAATGTGCATACCCTTTGACCCAGCAATACCACTTCTAGGTCTGTATCCCAAAGAGATCATAAAAATGGGACAAGGACTCACATGTATAAAAATATTTACAGCAGCTTTTTTTGTAGTGGCCAAGAATGGGAAATTGAGGAGATGCCCATAAGTTGGGGAATGGCTGAACAAGTTGTGGTATATTAATGTAATGAAATACTATTTCATAAGAAATGGTGAGCAGGTGGATTTTAGAAAAATCCTGGAAAGCCTTGCATGAAGTGAGCAGAATCAGGAGAACACTGTAACAGTAACAGCTACACTGTGTGATGACTGACTTTGATAGACTTAGCTTTTCTCAGCAATGCAAGGATCTAAGACAATTCCCAAAGACTCATCATAGAAAATGTTATCCACAACCAGATAAAGTACTATGGAATCTGAATGCATGTGGAAGCACGCTATATTTTCTCTCTTTCTTTTGTTGTTTCATTTTGATTCTTCTTTCTTGTGGTTCCTCTCATTGGTTCTAATTCTTCTTTACACCAAGACTAATGTGAAAATATGCTTAATAAGAATGTATAAGTACAGCCTATATCAAATTGCATGCCATCTGGTGGCAGGGGGAGGAGAGGAAGGGGAGAAAATTTTTTAAAATCTAAGGAAATGAATGTCAAAAACTAAAAATTAACAAATAAATAGTTCAGTATAAATGGAGAAGTCACTGCTGTCAAGGTATTTGTATGTGAAAGTAATATAAGAAATAATTAAAATAAATTCAGTTCATTAGGCAAGAGATGCCCTTAATAAGGTCAGGGTTTTGCTGCTGCCAGCTCTAACCAGCTCGAGAGAGCCAAATGTTAGATTACACTTCAGAAAGCAGCAATTGATACAAATCATCCATTGATTTATTGTTCTATTGACTAGACCTAAGAAGGTGTTAATAATGTAGATGAAAAAAGTCTCCATAATCTTTTCGAAATTAGTACATTAGTAGTATATTATATGACATTTACATTTTACTCTGTTATTAAAATTGCTAATATTAAATCAATATTAGCATTACTAATTAATTAGTAAAATCAATATAAAAATTACTGATACTAAAATATACTGTTACATTGTATCACTGGTTGGGAATTTTATTTCATGTTAATAAATCACAATTATGTCAGTTTTTTTTAAAAAAGTGTGTCCATACACCCCCCTTATCCCTCTTATTGTTAAACATTTATCAGCACACCTCTGTATTGCTCTATAAAAATTGCTTGAGCTCAGCAGAAATGCTCCAGACAATGAAGTCATCACCAGATTGTTGAGGCCTGGTGGCTATGTGCTAATAACACCTAACAACAGCAATAACAACAACATCAACTGGCATTTATATACTGCTTTAACATTTGCAAAGTACTTTCCACCAAGTATCTCATTTGATCATGACAACTTTCCTAACTATGTTTACACATACATCAATATTTTTAATTACACTGATGATCTATCTGGTAGCTTCATATTTTAATTAATTGCTTTTTCTAAGTATGTGCTAAATAGAAGCAGTTTGGCATAGTGGGTAGATGGCAGGCTTAAGAGTTAGGTGTGCAAGTCTCACCTGACACATAATGGCCATGTAACCTTAAATAAGTCAATAGACCTCTCAGTAACTCCATGCAAGTCTTTAAGACTAGGAATTCCAAAATAAGTTGATTTGCATTGGAAGAGGAGTTTTTTTTTTTCCTCCACCAGTAGATTCGTAAACCAATAACATCTCAAATCTAGGCCAGGAAGCTAACCAGGCACTAAATTCTGAGCTAGTATTTTTATACCAATTCAAGGGTTACATTTTTGGACTTTTAATTTTAGTGTCCTAGGGCAGAGCTCCCGTAGTGATGACTAATCCCAGTGATGGCTCTATATGCCAATAACCCTAATCTTCTTTCTCCCCCAGAGATCTTGCTAGAGATGGAAGCAACTGGATCTTTTGAAAGCTGCAGCTGCTTCATCTCTGATGTACATTCATTTTTTAAAGATCTAACTCAAGAATCACCTTTTAAAACAACTATTTGTTATTACCTTACTCCACTTTAATAACTTTCATATTTGTCATTCCACAGAATATTTGCTTGGCAATACTTTGATTCATTTTACTCAGTTTATATTGATGTCTCTTTTATGATTCCCTTCCTCCTACAATGTGCAGGGCATCCCAAAAATCTCAGAGCAGTTTTAGGCTATTAAAGCTTGAAGCTACACTAAGACTTTTGGGACACCTATTAGGTGAAAGCTCTATGAAGCCAGGGACCATGTTTCCAAATCTTTTTATATATATTCACAGCTTTTATTAGAATATAGTACAAACCAGAGGTCCTTAAGCGTGCTTCCTGAATATATATTGCAGGAGTAGGGAACCTGCAGCCTTGAGGCCACATGTGGCCTTCTAGGTCCTTGGGTGAGGCCTTTTGACTGAATCCATGTTTTACAGAACAAATCCTTTTATGAAGACATTTGTTCTTTGAAGTTTGGATTCAGTCAAAGGGCTGCACTTGAGGATCTAGAGGGCCACATATGGCCTTGAGGCTGCAGATTCCCTACCTCTGTTATATTATATGACTGTAATATTCACTCATCCTTGTGATCAGGGGATAAGAAACCAGATTGACTAGTTAATTCCTAACATTCATTGCTACAGCTGGTCAAATATTTTTATGAACAGAAGTTCATCCAGGCTAGGCTGTGAAAAGAAGTATTTTGTTTTAATGATCAAATAACTGTTGAGTTACCATTTATGTTTCTTGATCTGAAAGAGTAAGCTCAAATGTGGAGTCTTGGAGCCTTAAATTATTGACAATTTGCTTTTCCTATAGTATGGAATGTAAATGTTTGAAATTAGCCTTTGTATCATCTAAAGCCCTGACTAGGATCCATTATTTGACAACAGTAAAAATATCAGACTCACCTTGACTCTTTTTTATAAGAGGAAGAAGTTTTAGAGTTGTCCTGATGCTCCCCAAAGCATTGACATCTATAATTTTTTTTATTTCTTCAAAAGATTCCAACTGCCCAAACGGTGCTAGACATGCATTGTTTACTAGACCCCAGAGACCTAAAAGTAAATAATATATTTTTAGAGTATCAGTTATTATAGGAATGATTGAAGAAGAGAACTGTTGTCTACCAAAGCAACACTATTAGCTATATTATGGTACTCTGGTGAAATGTCATACCTTCCCAGCTTGTTTTTATTCAAGTTTTTGAAGGAGATGCCATATGATTGGGTAAATTAAAATTATTCTGTATCATTTGATAATTGATTGTATTCTGTAATTAACCCTATTCTGTATTACTGCCCCATTTTATATAATTGCTCAAGCCAATTTCTCAGTACCTGAGTTAAGCTTAGGAACACAGCTTTTCCTCTTGGCAAAGACACTGGAGTGGTTTGCCATTTCCTTCTCCAGCTCATTTTACAGATGAAGAAACTGAAACCAACAGGCTTTAGGGACTTGCCCCGGGTCACATAGTTGGTTAGTGCCTGAAATTGGATGTGAATTCATGTATCCTTGACCCTGGGCTGAGCTCTCTATCTACTGAGACACCTAGCTCCCTTCTGAGCATCAGGGAGTCTGCTAACTCAGGTCTGCTAGAAAGGCTTGTAAGATGCTGATAGATCTCATAAAATAATTGGCATTCATGTCAGAGAAAGATGGTCACTAGCCCCACATGGGTATGCCAGCCTGCTTTCTTTAAAATAAGCAATCATGTCCCCACCCTTATGATGCTGTCTACTGTGGAAATAAAAAAAATAATCAGCAGAGGGAAGACACTAAAAGTAAGAGGAATTGGGAAAGGCTTCCTATAGAAGGTAGACTTTTTGCTGCAACTTGAAAGTCAGGGAAGCCAGGAAGCAAAGAAGAGGAGGGAAAGCATTCTACACATAGGAGAGAGCCAGTGAAAATGCTCAGAGTAAGGAGATGTTATTAGATAAAAACTCACAAATCAATCACTTAATTAAATCACTTAATCTCTCTGTCCCTCAGTTTTTTCATCTGTAAAATAAAAGAGTTGGACTTGGTGACCTTGTTTTAGAAATCCTTGAGCTCCACCCCCTACCAAGGTATCTAACATTCTTCTCCATTCTACTTGGAACCATGCTGGAAGTTCATGGGGGATGAGAGGTGGGAGGAGATGGGGGAGAAAACAGGGGGAAGGGGAGTGGCTTTGTTCTTATTAACTTTCACTCAAAACTAGTTCTGGAAAAGATCAGTTCCTCACAGGATTATTGTGAGAAAATGTTCTATATGAGTTATTAGACAAAGACACATCAATCAACAAACATAAGGTGCCTAGTGTGTCAGACACTATGCTAGGCACTGGAGAGATAAGTGCCAAAAAAATGAAACAATCCCTCCTCTGCAGAGAAAGTTTAAGAGGAGTGAAAGAGATCTAGTATGAAAGAGGCTCAGGGAGGGAAAGAAAATTTCTAGCATGTTCCACCACTATGTTTCCCCTAGGGACAGAATATAACTGAGAATTTTAAACTGGGAGAAATCCCAGTGGATTGTGCTGATATTAGGTGGCAGTCTTAGAAACTACTCCTTCCTCCTCCATACACCTTTCTCCCTGAAGCCTGGGATCCAGACATTAATTAGTCTTCATTCTTATCTGTAGCAAATCCTGCCTGGGTGCAAAGTTAATACTCTTTGTGAGGGTAGGTGTCAGCTTTCAAGGTGTCCTGGGGACATGGAATAGCTAGGAGTCTGCTCTGAAGGAAGGGAAAAAAATACCGTTTTCAGGCAGATTCTTCAGGAGGAAGTCCTTGGCATCAGCCACATCTTGATCCTGAGTGACATCAAGTTTGAAAACATGTAGACAATGGCTAGTTCCTGCCTCCTGCCTCAGACTTTGTGCTCCTTCCCCATCTGGAAAGAGGCAAGTAGCAAATACAGTGAAGCCAAGATGGAATAGTCTCAAGGCCAATGAATGCCCAAAGCCAGTATCACAGCCAGTGATGAACACTGCTTTGCCAGTCAGATCAATTCTTTTCTGATGAGATGCTACACAGAATGCAACTTTTCTCCAGGCTAGCAGTAGTAATCCTAGAATAGTTATCCAGAGCAGGTAACTCCAGCCATGAATTAACCCTAAAGCCATAGGGACAGCAAAGAGGGAGAAACTGAGGATTCCAAACATAGCCTGGCTTCTCTTCTTAAAATATATTACAAGATAGAGAAATGTACCTTCTTTATACAATTTCCTACTAATGCTCAATGCCAACTGGAAGGGCAGAGTAAACCATGGGCGATCTTCCCCACCCCTTCCTTGACAATGGAGTGATTGCTACAGGCTGTGCTAGGGGTGAAAAGGCTATGCTGGTAAACAAATGGCCTGTGTGTGGACTTTGGTTCACCAAAGTGACAGCCAGCAGATTTGTTGCAGTCGCAAATATTAAATTGTTTAAACAGGCTTCTCTAGACTTGCCCCTGGTATTGTTCATAATTTGGCCCAAATTAGGGAGAAGAATAAATTGAATTGGGAGCGATGAGGAGGCTAACAACAACAAACAACAACAATAATTCTTACAGAATGAACAAAGAAAAAAGCAACAGAACTCTGAAGATGAATGGAGGTAGTGTGGAAGAATGTTGGTTTTGAAATTAGAGGAAATAGACTCAAATCTTGACTCTGTAACCTATTTGATTTTGGACAGATCACTTCAACTCTCTGTTCTTCAGTTATTTCATTTGTAAGATGAGAGCTTTGGACTAGGTAAAGTCTAAGATCTCTTCCAGATTTAAATCTGTAATACTAAATAATACTTCCCTCCCACAAGAGGGTAAACTCAGTCCATTTACCAACACCTAAAGTCAAACTCCACTTGTAAAATAACTCCATGGAATTTTGACAAATATTTATGTGACATTAGAAAATGACAGAGGAAATAAATGGTGAATGATTTTATAAGATCTTTCTTTAACCCACTAATAGATACACACATGGGTTTTTCAAGATTAAATTAATTACCATGACATTTTTAAAGTGTATTAAAACATGCTGGATTCTCCTGTGGGATAGTTTAAAAGAAACCCAAAACCAAACTTGGTTAGTTCTGTCTTCACGTTAGGTTGAAGAGAATTATATCTGACAGACTGTCTTACTATAACTTTATTACTCTTAATATAAATAGAATTTCAAAACACATGTTAATGAACTATGATTTCTTTGGTGTGGAAATACTTTCTCTCATGATAAATCACCTATGTGTTGGTTGTGCGTCTGTGTTTCCCATGTCGGTTACATGAATGTCCACTTGGGCTGACTAAATGCAGCTCACAGTGAGGCTTTAATAAATATCTCAGGAATCTTGCTCACTCATCTCCAAGAGAGACAGTGCATGCTTATGAATCTTTATTCTAAGAATTTGTTTTGTAGTAGGAGAAATATCTAGCTGTCTTATACTTGGTATCTACTACTTACTACATTAACAATTTTTCTTTTTTTAAAATTTATTAAATTTATTTTTAATTTACAACGATGACTTCCAAAAGCTTTTGAGTTTTAAATTTTCTCTCCCTCCCTCCCTGAACAATTTTTGTAGGACTCTATAAATTCCTTTAGGAGAGAGCATAGACCCTAAGCTTCGTGTAAGAGATTTTCTCTAGGTATCCCTGATGGGGCCAGAGAGCAGGGATTGGAAGAATTGATTCTCCCTTAGCAGTTCAGCTCTCAGGAGTCAGATTCCTTGCAGAAGGCTGGCTCGAGTGAATCCAAGGTTGGCATGCCTTTGTAGGCAGTGGCCTCCTAGGCACTGTTCAATAGAAGGATCATAAATACTCTACCCCATTTGAAAATAAAACCCAATTGCTTTTCCTGGTTTTCCTTTCACAAATAGGTAACAGCAAATAAACAAACTTAAAAAAATTTTCAAACTTTATTAATGCTACTTCATGAGAGCCATAAAAAGGGGGAGGGGGCTGACTAGGACCTTGGAAGAACAGACATGGCACCTCTCTATCATAGTCCAGAGATTTGGTCCTGGGTGACGCTTAGTCTGAAAACAGGTAGAGCCTGTCTTATGCTCTAGGCATTTTTCCTCTTCCCCTTCACTGTCCTTTACTACCCTGTGAATGCCCTGAGATGGTGCAGAATCCTCTTGCTCAGTCTAGGCTGCCATTCCTAGGATTCCATTATTATTGTAACTCTCCCAGTATGGTCTTTTTCCTTAACCATTTGGACACGGATGGGACTCTGTTGGACTGTGCTGTAAGTCAGCCATCCTCTTAAACTGTGTTGTCCCATGTGAAAGACTTTCTAGATATGACTCAACATTTCAATAATTTCTTTTTGTCATATGAAATCATGGTGTCTCCATGAGTTTGCGTAATATCTTTCAAAGAATGGAGAAATCTCCCAGGCCATCAATCCATAGTAGACAAACGTGGCATTATTTTTGAAACACAAAAGGAGCAAAATGTTCTTTTAAATGACCAGCTTCATATTCCCTGTTCATAGGCCTCTTAATAGAATCACAGAATCTGGGAGTTGGAAAGGACCTCAGCTATAGGTAGCAACAGTATAGCAAGTCTAACCCATACTCAAAGGCATCCTTACAGTAACATACTTAACAAGTCGTCATACAGCTTATATTTGAAGATTTCTCCAGGCATCTCATTCAATTTATGGAATAAATCTTGCTATTAAAAATGTTTTACTGATATTTGAGCCCAAATTTGTTTCTTACTACTCTGTTAGAAGGAAGATCAGCAAAATATAGGATTAGAACTATACTTCCCTGTTTATTGGTGTGGCCAGCCAGGCAGGTGTTTAGGAAGTTGACATGTTTGGGTTCAAGGCCTGCCTCTGAGAAACTAGCTGTGTCACCTTAGGCAAGTCATTTAACCTTCTGTACTCCCAGACAATTTTCTTTTTTTTTTTTTGTTATGGACACATGCACATTAATTTTATTTTTTGTTTATTTTTTTAATTTTTAAAAATAATTTATTTATTTTTAGTTTTCAACATTCACTTCTATAAGATTTTGATTTTTAAATTTTCTCCCCTTCCCTCTACTCCCCCCTCCCCAAGATGGCATGTAATCTGATATAGGCTTTACTTATACATATACACATATATAATATACATTCTGCATATTTTCACATTAGTCATGATGTATAGAAGAATTAGAACTAATGGGAGGAACCATAAGAAAGAAGAAATAAAATAAAACAACAAAAGAAAAGGAGAGCAAATAGTATGTTTCCATCTGTATTCAGACTCCGTGGTTCTTTTTCTGGATGTGGATAACATTTTCCTTCATGAGTCTTTTGGAGTTTTCTTAGGTCCCTGCATTGCTGAGAAGAGCTAAGTCTATCAAAGTCAGTCATCTCACAATGTGGTTGTTACTGTGTACTGTGCTCTCCTGGTTCTGCTCACTTCACTCAGCATCACTTTGTATAAGTCTTTCCAGGTTTTTTGAAGTCTACCTGCTCATCATTTCTTATAGCACAATAGTATTCCATTACATTCATATACCACAGTTTATTCAGCTATTCCCCAATTGATGGGCATCCCTTCAATTTCCAATTCTTGGCCACCACAGAAAGAGCTGCTACGAATATTTTTATACATGTGAATCTTTGTCCCATTTGTATGATGTCTTTGGGATACAGACCTAGAAGCGGTGTTGCTGGGTCAAAGGGTACACACATTTTTATCGCCCTTTGGGCATAGTTCCACGTTGCTCTCTCCAGAATGGCTGGATCAGTTCACAACTCCCCCAACAATGCATTAGTGTTCCAATTTTCCCACATCTTCTTCAACATTTATCATTTTCCTGTTTTGTCATGTTAGCCAATCTGATAGGTGTGATGTGGTACCTCAGAATTGTTTTGATTTGCATTTCTCTAATCAATAGTGATTTAGAACATTTTTTATGACTATAGATAATTGTATTTTTTCCTCTGAAAACTGCCTATTCAGATCCTTTGACCATTTATCAATTGGGGAATGACTTGTATTCTTATAAATGTGACTCAATTCTCTATATATTTTAGAAAGGAGGCTTTTATCAGAGACACTGGCTGTGAAAATTGTTTCCTAGCTTGCTTCTTCTCTTCTAATCTTGATTGCATTGGCTTTGTTTGTGTAAAAACTTTTTAATTTAATGTAATCAAAGTCATCCATTTTGCATTTTATAATGTTCTCTATCTCTTGTTTGGTTATAAAGTCTTCCCTTCTCCATAGATCTGATAGGTAAACTATTTCTTGGTCTCCAAGTTTGCTTATAATGTCAGTCTTTATATCTAAATTATGTGCTCCTTTTGACTTTATCTTGGCATAGGGTGTAAGATATTGATCTATGCCTAGTTTCTGCCATACTATTTTCCAATTTTCCCAGAAGTTTTTGTTAAATAGTGAATTCTTATCCTTACTGGAGTCTTTGGATTTATCAAATCAGACAATTTTTTTTCTAAGTAGCGATATTGGACCTCCAGCTCTAAAATCCAGTGTCCCTCTCTGTATAGCTTTTGAGCTAGAAGGGGCTCTACAGTTCATCTGATCCAATCCTTTTATTTTACAGATGAGGAAATTGAAACCCAAAAGAAGTGAGAAGTAAATGACTTTGCCAAAGTCACAAAGTTAGTTAGTATACGGTACTTCGGCTTTAGAATCAAAGTGTCTCAACCCTCAGTTGAATGCTATATAGCATCTAAGGAGAATTCAGAGAGAGAGAACTGTGTAGAATTTAGAATTTTGGCTATATCAGTGAGGAAATACTTGGTTTCATGACTAGGAAAATAACAAAAGATAAATGATAGCAGGAGAGACAATTGTCACCTCTTTAACCAAACTAAGTGGAAATGATGGGTGGCCCCACATAGGGAACTTGAGTGACTATATTAAGCCAGAAAAATAAAATAAAGATAATTCCATTGAGAAGAGGAGGAAAGGGAGGTGACAAAGAGAGGAAAGGAGGAATTCTGGAATGCAGATTAGCATTCCAGCTTAGGAATTCCAGATTAGGAATTAAGTTCTAATATTTAATTTTGAGACTGTTTGGGCTGTCTGATTTTATAAGGAACATTATACAACTACTTTGTTCTTGTCATTCTTTACTTCACAGTAAGAAGATTTCTAGAGTGGGTGTTGATAGTTTATTCTTCCTCCTCACCAGCTGTGTAGATTTTCCCACC